TTTTCTTCCATTTTGAGTTCATTTGAGACTTTACAAATGCAGGGCGACTCTTTCATAAACCAGAGACGTATAAAGCCATATACGTCTCTGCATAAACAGAATACATTACTGTAAAGATATACTGTTTTCTTATCTTACTAATAGGAAAGGGTATTGCGATGGAACGAGCACCTTGTCCGAACAAACTACGGAACGACGAACTAGATGACAACATCATGAAACACATGACAGAATCACAAGGGTTTCGACTGTCAGAGGTGATCCGATTCGTTATCGGAAACATCCCTAGTCCTGCCTTAGCAATGTATCATATCCTTCACCGGAAGTTGGTTCGGTATATGGCAGACATGCGTGTGAAGGGAAAAGTGTCTGCGATGGATTCACCAATGTTTGGTCACAAAAAAGTATCTCTAGTCTTTCAGGTAAAAATTAACTGCTTTCAGATACTATTTTAATACATGTACATTCAATAAATTCAAGTACATGTTTCTAACATGAAAATTTGAGTGTAGCGAAGGGCTGGTGTATGTCTTCTGCCAACAATCCTACTTTATGTATAGGTCTTTAATCTGTATCGACAAAGGGAACTAAGAAAACTACAGGTATTTTAATCACCTACAAATGTAAAACAAAAAAATATACATGTATTAAATTTTCGTATTGTCATTTTAATGTCGGTCTAACGAAACTTACACCCGCTCGACACCATAAACTAGTTGTGAATAGGGTAAACTGACCGTGAGAGTTTCCTTTGCAGAAGCAATATCAAGATGTATCAAGATTATAGTTTTTAATTTAGAAATGTTCTGTTTACTATAGACATTACGGTTATAAAGTTCTCGTTATAAACAAAAAATGTAGGCTAGCTTCATAAATTTGCAAGTTATACAATGGAATATCATCGATTACTATACCCAACGTTTTGTTTGTGTCACAGAGAATCAAAGCTCGTCGTAACTCTGCCGGTAGCGAGGACAGCCAGACAACTAACACTCAGAGGTTCGGTGCTGTCAACTACATGGCCAAGAAAAAACATACTCGGGTAGAGAAAGTCGACGACGTGAAAATAACAGACATGGAAAACGATGAAAATGATCAGACGAAAAGTAAGGACTGCTAAGAAATTGTTCCTGTTTCTCTAATGAGGTTATTTTTTTAACTAAAATATTAGAAGAAACAATTCTTAATTTTTACACCGTATGTTTTAGGAATAAGCACGTTTTATCGTTTTAGCTCACCTGGCCCAAATAGCATACATAGGTTTTACCGTGGCACAGCGTCCGATCGGCATCAACTTCTTCTTAATGCTTTAAACGAATGGGCCCATAGCAATTTTATTCGGTCAGAAGGTACCTTGCAAGTGTAGTACCCTCAAAGTGGTAGCATTAAATATATGTTGTTTTCAATACAAGGTCCAGAGCCATGATGCATGGGTAAGCGAACTTTGAACACTGCTGTGGTGTGTTGAAAGATTTTAGAAAAAAATACTTCAAATTACACAAACCCATGGTCATGAGTTTTGGGGAACTAGGTGCGAATGTACCAAGGTCGCTTTAAATATCTCTTCATATAAATGAACTTTACCAATTTTCAACTTGACATTTATTTATAATACGTCAAATGAGTTCGTTTGAAGATCAACAAGATCTAGTATAATGATGAATGTGTTGTTGCTTATTGGAATAAAGGAATGTATCAATGTAAAATTAAATAAAATAGGTCGACCCACTTTTAAGAACACAGATATGAACAGGTGAGCGATACAGTCCTAATGGGCCTCTTGTTTCATATATATTTTTTCTTCGAGTCTTTGTTTTTTGTCTTTTTTTCCTATCGATGTAATTGAAAGTCATTATTCAAATTATCTTTAAATTGATCATTTTAGAATCCCGAGTCATATGATCGTTACATCTATTCTACAGCATGGACATGTACTTGACTACTTCAATAACTATTAAATGAGATCACTAAACAAAGCATTCAGTCATAAAAGGTCTCCTTATTTTATCTCTGCAAAGAAGAATTTTGGGAGGAATATTGTTCATGTGTGGTTTTGGGGGGGGGGGGGGGGGGGGGGGAGGGGAATGAATGCATGCGCTTAATTTATTTCCATAACGTGTAATACGTGGTTATTAACATATGAAAAGCGATGTTACATCGCTGTCATTGTCTAATAATATGCATTTACCATTTACGCATCAGTTTATATGCATTCCTGTCGGGTTGATTTTAAGTTAAAAAAAATGGTTTGATTCTTCATGCTCAATACGTAAACATTCGCCATTTTTCATATTTGATACAGAAGAGGTCGATAACAAAGGACCTAACCATAAACCTGATATAAATAAGAACAATGGCGTTGAAATGCAACGCATTCGTTTACACAAACTCTCCCAACGCCGCCATCCAGTAGTGTCATATCAAACAATCTTTGTTGAGATAAACTCATTTGAGGATACTTGCCCTCACAACGATAGCATCGATCTGGCACTAAACATGTCAAGTTATGTAAGCTTGATGGAACAAGCACTGCTGTATTATGTAAGAATTCCATAAATAAAATATTGCCATTGGTGCTTACGAAATCATCGGAGTAACATTATCTTATTTTATGTTTCGTTACGAATCACTACTGTAAGAAAGTTATCACACAGCAATACGTTATACACAGTCGTAAAGCTGACTTGTCAATTGGCGTTTGATTATTTATTGCTAACGTCAGTTTATCTAACGATGGGATTTGTGGTGATGGCTAGGTTCATGTGTTACTGAGGAAACGATACTTATAGTAACCGGGTCATTGCCAGGCGTTACAAGGTAGGGTGTCGTGCGTGGTAGTGGTGACCGCGGTGAACGGGGTGAGGATGATAATGACTCTTCTTTCATCAGGGACCATCATAGCGTGTGTACACTATTGACATAAGAGAACACTGTAAATACAACAAGAGGCAGTTGAATATAACGTGCTAACACCTGCTTATCCATCACAAGTGAATAAATTCCCAGCACGAACGTTCCACTGCTATGCTATAATGACGTGCGGGGTGATTTCCTCGGTTAATGAGTTTTTGTAGGACTTAATCCGCCGTAAAGCGTGGATTTTCAGCACGCACATTGCAAGGTCAGAGGATTAGAACGTGTGTGGTGGTTTTCTCTGTTTTCCGTTGTTATTCATTAAGAGAGGTTTATGATAGGTCATGTGAACTTACAACGTTACCTGGAAAGGTTGCTTTACACGAACAATAAACATACAGATGAAGATTTATAGACACAATTGTGTGGGGATCTCTCACATAAAGTCAAAGTTGTTTATATTACATTTATATAGCAAAATAAAATAAAAACTTTGTCCTTTTCTATATCTCCCATTGAGAGTGTTAGATTGTGTTCCCACGTCGATATTCGTTCTTCAATATTTCATGGTTACTGTACATTTGTAAGTAATGTTTGCGTCCTCTGTATTTTAGTCATTGTTGTGTGTTGAAGTAATAACATTTTAATTGGTTTTGTATTCAAAACATTTTTTTTTTTTTATTAAATGCAGTTTTCTCTCATCGAGTTATATTCCTGTGTTGTAGCATTTGAAAGGGAGGCAATTGACGTAACAAGGACGGAACAGACGAAACTATCTTTTTGTAAGTCCCCACTGCCCATACGACGCGAGACGACCTACCTACCAATTGTTCCTGGGAAGGTGATAGTGCGGGGTGCTGGTGTTTCCCATGACCTGTCTCCTTCCCCAGACTTACATAGTGAGGACATAGGGAGTGACAACTGTGGAACCGCTGATGGTATAGACTCGCACAGCACCGTCAACAAACGTTCCAATTACCGACCTCATATGATGCCTCCAAGACGCCATCTTAGCCGGGTGAAGCAATATTTATGGGAGGATCCATTACCGTCAGCAGAAAAAGGAAATGCCGAGACGGCTGATGTGTTAGTACGTCGTCTAATCAAGCGATGCAATACAGACCTTACAGTGAATATGAAGGGCAATAAACCCCGCTTTCAGAGGGCGCAACATCATCCGGATAACGTCACTCATCAAATGTGCAATGGACAAAATAACGTCTATATTAGACGAACAGAAGTTAAAATAGTAAATAACAAGAAACTAATACATCTAGATTACTCGCCTTGTGGTGGAAACAAAGACGTCAAGCATGTGGTGACTACAGCACATGGTGCTACACACAGAGGTCTGGAGGTTCCTAAGCCTAGAACATCAGCACGTGCTGCACACCATCATCAGCCCCACAACCATCATAGGTCAGGGCAAGCACTTTCGCTTTTCAATCGGAGTAAGTCCCCCCACGCGGCCTCTATAGAGAGAATCACCGCTCTGGCCTCTAGTCCAAAGCCCGCAAGTTCGAAGGGTACACTTAACTCGGAACTTTCGTCACTCCTCAACCGGGAGAGCACAGCCCCTTCGTTAGCCCTGCCTAACATTATGTCCCCTACCGAGTGCAAGTAAAAGGAAGGGTTAGTTACTGTTATACAGTATGTAAAGGCCTATTTACAAAAGCTCTCGACCAACAAGATACCGAATAATGACACATTGGCACTTATTACTTTTCCTTTTAGAGGTGAAATAAAGGATGGGTATTTTATCATCTACCAAATGTCAAAATATGATTCTCTTTAACAAATGCAAGTATAATGGGTACTTTAAACGCAATGATGTTTCGAGCATGTCCTGTGAAGTATCAGAGTGATTTAAATGAGGAAATACTTTTGTTTGGATAAGACTTCGTCTTTTTTTTTTTAAACAAATCACCGTACGCCTTAATAGGGCTTAGCGGTACGTGTGATATTTATGTTATTAATGGTTTTCTTTATAACCATGGATTCTTATAGGAAGACAATAGTTTACTTTGGTACTGGAAGACAGTTTTGTACATGTAAAATGGCTAGCTATACCGGGAATCTTCCAGTTATTGTAGGATTTGGGTGGTATATATGGATTGTGCTACGACACATCATATTTATTATCAAGCAGCAAACAGTCGGAATAAACCCTTAATATACACGTATCGTACAAGAGATACAGCGTGTGTTTAGACCCTGTAATACAATGTTCCGAGAAGCACATGTTATACTCATAACAAAAATGTTCTTTTACCAGTGAAGTCCTTTTGAATATTTATCCAATGATCAACTCGACGAATTGAAACAAGAATAGGTTTCAGATAAATGTGACGTCATTATTCCGTCCTCGGTGTAGTTTTGTTTACTAGCTATTGCTGTTTACAAAGTTTTCAGGGAACAAACTGAACATTAATAGCGATGTCAATAAGTCTTTTTCAGTGCATGTAGTTAGACCAATTGCAGACCCACAATAAAAGTAATACCACACTTTGGTTTGGCAAACGTCGCGGATAACACTCGTTTACTGAACAGAATTAAAATCACGGTCGTGCTTTCTGTGACGCCGGATAAAGACTTGTGATGTTGTTGATGTATCAACGAGACAGACAATCAACGGACAACATATGATAAAATGTAAAAGTTATAAGGATATTCTAGTCGTTTAATCATACATTCACTGTATGTAATGTTGTTCCAATAATGACTCTTGATATTTCATCAGGAATCGGAACTGTGTGAGTTTTGAAGGAAAGAGATTCTTACAGTCGTACAAAATGCCAATCAACAACAATCTCAAGATGTCCATATTGATGTCAAAGATAAATGCATCTTAAATCAATCTACTTGAAGATCAATACCACGGTGAAATACGAGAGAACCTGAGTCAGAAATATTGGCACCCGATACATTCCTTCCCATAATTACACATTTTACACGAAAGTGAGGCTTAGAAATAAAAAAACACTATCAACTAGCTTTATTCATCATGAGATTTTACCATGTTTATATTTATATTGTTACTATGATATTGTGATCAGCGGTACAACTTCAGAAAATATTAAAATGTGATGTTAGAGTGGTTTGGTCCTTCGTTTTTTATTGTACAATTTACAAAGAAATGATGAAAATAATAAATAATTATCATCGAAGAATTTTATAATATATACGACTTTAAAACATTGGAAAGAGTGATAACTCGTTAATTTAATTTCACCTATTTAGCACGTTTATGCCTTTTATTGAAACACACAAGAACTCAAAAGACACAAATTATACTGCAATTTCCCTTCACTGGGCTGTGCATTTTGAAGCTAAACATGTATTTGTACTTTCGAATAAATCCCTGGCGGACAGTTCAAAAACTAAAGCAAGCAATCCAGCCTGAACAAATCTCAAAATACTCCAGTCAAATAGAGTGACGTCACACTACGAAATGACATCGAAAATATTGTGACGGCAAGAAAGTTGACATGCGCATTTGGGATTTGGCAACAAACGTTGCATTCTTACATTTCACAATTACGTTAAAGGGTCAATGAAGCAGAGTTATATGTTCGTCAAACAATGCAAAGTTACCCCCTTCAAAGTGAAGTATTTGTCAGTTTCTTAAATCTTGGATGTTTTTGTATATTTTCCCTCGAATCATTTTGCCATTTAGGAGATAAATAAAATACGGAATATAAAAGTTGAATCTATCACCCCTGTGTGATATAGACAGGTAAATCTCAATCCGGTAGTAATATCTTTTGTTGTAAGCGCGAGGATATGTCGATTCCTAAACTTCAAAATTCTTATCTCAAGGATTAAGATTTATCGATCTGCATTACAAAGGACTGATGGATAATTTTCTCCCTCAATTTGTAACCTCCAAAATGTGTAACGGTGAATCAAATTCACCGCCCCATCACCATTGTTCCCGTGACGTCATAGCATTGTTTTGTTCGAGGGAATTGAAGAAGAAGAATCTTACCCTAGGAGGTGACTTATAGAATCTTTCCCTACCTTAAGGGTGACAGAGAAATATCCAACCCGAGGGGTGTTGTTTTTTGGTTGTCTTACCCGAGGGTTAGACAACCAAAAACATCACCCCAAGGGTTAGAGATTTCCCTGTTACACCCACAAGGTAGGGGATGGTTATTATTTCTCCCATTCTAATATGTCAGTCACAACTGTACCGATAGTAGTCTAGTTTGTAAACAAAAACACATGTGGAGTATGAATATCGTCATTCACTTTTGTTGACATCACAATTACCGGCGACACATTTTAATGACGTCACAATTGAACACGTTTTAATCGGCACGAGGCTATCTCCCCCTAGGGGGTGACAAGCTCATCTTTCCCGGCTAAGACGGGAGACACACATGTGAAGGATTGAGGGGGGGGGGGGATTCAGAAATTGGTAAAAATGGAGATAACTTTGTGAATGGAGTGAGACAGTTTTGTCTTTTCCTTTTTTAACAAGAAAAAAAAAGAAAACACCTGTGAAGTCTTGGATATTAAAAACAATTATCAGTAACGAGTCATTTAGTAAATACATTAACGTATATAGCTATACAGTTAAGATAGTAGGTATAGCCTGTTGCCAAGTTTAACAGAATTAATCAGGCTTTCATTATGTAAGGTAAATGATACCATGAAGTCAACCAATAGCATTAATATTACCATTGACGCGATTATGAAATATTTGTTTAAGTCCTGTTCAAAAGAAGTGTTCCATAAAAATATGATATTGCGATGCATTTGACAGAATTAAAGTTGTGCGGAAATTGAGCGTTTGAAATTGAAAATATGAAAACAAAAAACCTGCAAAGGTGGAAATCATAACCTTTGCAAAGCTTACATATTAGCAATATTTCCATACAGAGATTATATATTCATACAATCAAAACGAGTTTCAAATGAAGGCGGCAGATCCTATGGGAAAAAACATTTGTAACGTGCCCCTGTGATTGGAAGATACATTACTTGACGGAAGCAGTTAATCAAGCCAGAACGGTCTGTTCAGTCCATTTGCGATATCCCAGTTAACTTGTTAATACCACAAATAATGAGATATCATCTGAACTAATTTAAACTTCTCATTGAAATCTAAGCGAATCAACACAGTATGTGTTGAGCTAGTTAGCGGGTCCATGGGTTATACAGCATNCCCCCCCCAATTTCTTAACTGTTTCACAATTCCCCGTCCGAGAAGTCTCGAGACTTGGATTGGGTGATCACAGAGTCATGACTATGCAGCCAGCAAATGTAACGTGCAGGATGTTTGCCCATGTTTATCCATTGTCTCTTTTTCTCCCTAGTTGTTGCTAGGAGTGCACCTTCGTCACTTTGTCCTTGGTGTACTTTCCTGTAAGCTCTACACTATACGTGTGGCTGGAAAATATTGATGTGGATATATTGGATTGTCAAGCCATATTTCGGTTCAAATTTTGAACGTATGTAACAATTCCTCCATATCTTGTTTTTTATAATGACTGGAAAAATATGATGGCTGTTCTGATTGGTGTTGTGAATTTAATGTTGGAAGCATTGTTGTGATGACTATTTATTGGGGTTTATGGGGGTATCATTAAGTGTTTCGATGACACTAGAGTGCATATTAGAAGGAATGTGTTATGTTGTTAATTTAGGCGAGAATCTACAGAGCTGGGGAAAAATATATTCGGTAAGCACGCTTATCCAATCCATCTTTCTTTGATTTCATCCGTTAAATATTCCCAAGAAGAAACAATAAGATGTTTGATTACACATTATCTTCGCGGCCAATCTCTTTAACGAAAGGGCCGGTTTCCAAAATGGCCCCTTCTCTGATTCAAATTTCCTGTTGGTGGTGCATTGCCCATGCCGTTGTGGTCACAAATCTATAAAGTATAAAGATTTAGGTCACTTGGTTTGTTTTTTATGGCTCCTCAAAGTTGTACCTTTCAGAAGCTGTCTAAGTGTTGATAAAATGTGCATGTTATGTAAAATATTAATGAAAATCTAATCAAATGATGGTCACCGTAAAGAATACATTCATGGCATGATTGTGACAAAAAATCATGTTTCCATCGCGCCATTTGGCTGTTTTATGGAAGAAACAATCTCAAAAATGCCATTTTCGATGATAACATTTTAGACACAAAAACTGTGTTTTTTAGAGAATACACCCTTTTATGGGCGTTGGATGCAAACCAATTTTTATCCTATTAAACAGTACGTAATATGCTATTGATGAGAGGAAAAATCATCAAAATGTAAGTGGTGGAACATTTTCAAATGTTGGGTTGAATTAGCCTATGGTTGAATTGCCGATTTTCGACTTTCTTTAGATAATTAACAAAAAAACGAGAGTATTTGCTCGGTATGTTGAGAATATGTACACAGATATGAAAAAAAGTGAGAGAAACACTTTTTCATAAAAAAAATCCAAGATGGCTACTTCACAAGTCCCCGTGGTTGAAGACATTGGCTGACAAATAGACAGAACAACAAACAAAACGTGTTCCTTATGATTTTGGTTGGTTTTCGCATTTACGGGAGTGTTCATAGCTACGGGCGATTGTATAATACCTATATTTATAAGTTTGGTTAGTCACATGGTAACGGGGATCTTTCATATCGAGCCCCAAACATACTTTCGACATATGCACTCCGTTGCCGCATGGAAAACTATTTCAAGTTTTGTCGGAATTTCTTTACCTGTGGTTGTAATGGTCGAGGGTTTTCCAGCGTCCTGTAATACCCAAGGTAGTACAAGATACTGGAGATGTGCGCACACATTCCCATCGTTCTCTCTCCAACTGGGCACTGGCAGTAGTAGTCCTTTATTGGGGCCTCAACATCGGGTGAAACGGTGAACCGTATCCAAACGTTATATTTCGTTTGGCTTTTGTGTCGAGAATGTATTTGACATCGGAGAAGGTCTGGGGAGTGCTGGTAAAGCCACACCTCATAGTCTCCGTCATCACTTAAATGTTCGGCGATGTAACCAGGAGCCAGAGATATCTGATACGTTCCACACGTAATGGTTCTCAAGTAATCAAGATCGAGACGGGGAAACAGTACGGAAGATGCATCCATCTTGACAAACTCGGACCTTGCCCGTCTAGATAGATCCGGATCTGTCTTGACTCTCTGAGCTAAACCATTCGGTGTTGTCAAACGGTCCTTCATACGTTCAGCCATTAGCCTATCTTTGGCATCTCTCTCTGGAGATCTCTGGTAGATCGGTCCTCTAATACCATTCAGACAGGCTGTGACGGTTCGAAGCAAAGCCTCGATGACATTGATAAAGCTGTTAGACACCAATTGCGTTCGGAAGAACGTCCAGTGTTTCAGACGACCATGATAGGATTCCACAATCCACCTCGATTTGGTGATAGTTCTGTCAAGATTTGCTTGGACGTCAGAATGTTGACTTTGACCGGGTTTCAGGTATGACGGCATGCTAGCATTGAGGCCAGAGGCTTCGAGAACTGGTAGGACATCTCTAAAACCTCGGTCAACGACAACGTTGTCGTCTGGTTGTAGCCAAGTAACTAGCTTGTCCATGACTTTTTTTGTAATTGTAGCATCATTTTCGCTGCCAGTGAATGGTCCTACTGTGTCCAGAATGTAGCCATCTGGTAAGGCGATGCTCATGAATTTGAGATAGTTTCTCTTCTTCTGGCCACAGTAGGACATTCTCTGGAGCTTGTGGTCGGAGCTTTTCTGGATATAAATATAGGTGCCATCTAATATGGCAGTGGCTTTATCTCCAAAAAATGCTTCTGAAAAGACAGTATTGTGCCCGAGCAACTGTTCTCTTGTCAAGTGATCCGGACCTAGAAATTGTGGGACTATCGATGTGTCTAATGCCTGTACTATGGAGTGGAAAGTTTTGGACACACTTGACTTGGAAATTCCAAAAAGAGAAGAACACTGACTCCAGGAAATGTCGGTTTTCAGTTTTACCCAGAACAGTAATAGAGCATCGTGTGTAGTCTTGGTATATATACCAGATGAAAGATATGGGGAACAGTGCGAGTGGATTTCGAGGAACTGATCTTTGGACCAACCTGTCCA